GACTTTTTCTCTCTCTTTCTCCCCTACAGAAGTATCTCCTTCCCCTGAAGACCAGCCATGTTTCGTTTGAAACATAAATGGATGTACTACATCCTCTCGCTAGATTAAAATCCAAGTCGAGAATTCAATAGGTGGCGCCCCCATCGCCGCACTTTTCCTTGTTTACATCCACTTCAGCAAGGGATATAAATTAGCATGTTTGACTATTGCTACGTCATAACAAAGATAGCGGATTTCAATTTGAAAATGTCGAGTTTTGGCACGTAATTGTTCGCAACTAAAACGCTTTTAGCTCAAATGAATAGCCAGTTAGGACAACTCAAGCAATGAACTTTTGATCTAAGTAAACTTTTTCTAGATCGTACTTTCCCTTTAAGCTGAGTTCGATACCCGATCGTGTGGCGTTCATAATAGATTGTTGGTTTTATAATATGAAGGGCATATAACCAGCCTCCGTCAATCGTTTCAGTCGTGAAGTACATGTTCAGAGTGACAACTTCCTGAGATAGGATACTCCTAAGCATAACTTCCGTCGAAACTGAGCGATGGTAATCTACATTACAAGCGATCGTATTTCCTTACCAGTAGAGTATAGCAGCATGAAACACACCCAGAGGAAAAGCAGTCGTCCCTTCAAATCGAGTTTCATCTTTTGAAGAAGTTTTTCACGTTATCTGATAAATTCTTATTGCAATCCCATGGATATGCTACATATCAGCTGATTTCCTTTCACAATCGGTCGACACTTCGTCGATAACCAAACCCTACGAGCTTCCGCGTTTAGATAATAATTTTCCTTTCTGCGCATTGCGCAAGTTGCCTAAAAACCGAGGAGTACTAGAAATGAATTTCTACGTCGCGGGCGCAAAGCTGGCAGGATTTACGCTCAACCGAGAACCACTAGTGACGAGTTTCTGAGTCGGGTGATTATCGAGCGATTATCGGAAATCGTCACCCATTCCAATGTGGCAGACTACTCCACTAACACTATTTCAGGGTCGTAACGACATATATGGGATCAGGGATCAAAGGCCAAAAAAAGGGTGGGATCCGGGATCACAGCCCCGGGATCTGGGATCACAACCCCCGGGATCGGGATGAGCGGTGTTTTTCATTGGATCAAGGATCAGGCGTTCTGGATAACAAAAGGAATTCACCACGCGCACCTTAACAAGGTTTTTTTTAAAGCTTCTTCAAAAAATTTTGGTCCATTTCATACAGTAATCCTTGGTATTTGGACTAGCTGACTGATTGATCTGCTAATAACTTGCCAGGATTTTGTTGTCTAACACGCACTGCATGACATTCTACTCCATATAATGCGTCATATAAACACGTTGGATTGCTCTCGACAGAGCGTGTGTTATAGGTATAATTTTGGAACGTAAAAGTCAACTTTTCAGATCGGTTTCTTTTTTATTCAATGGTGCAGTGGGGAAAAAAAAGAAGAGAAAAGACGATCGCACCGTAGAAGGTAAATTGATGTTAACTTTGACTTACGGTTTTTTCTTGTTAAAACCAGCAATCTTTTGGCAAAATGTAATTTTATGAATTCCACATTCTAGGTCACGTTCCTGGTCGCCCAACAGAAAAGGCGATCAATGGCATGAGCGAAGCTCAAGGCGGCGTTCATCGAGCAGATAAGTTAGATTAATGAGTTGTTACCAATCATTAAGATCAGAGTATACATAAAATTGTTTTTAAAACTGCCAAAAGGCCTGACACAAAACCATGCTCTAAAAACCGATAACACATTGACAATCGATAGCAACAATTTGTGAGTTACGTTCCTTTCCTCTTCGTTTAAAATCATACATACATACATCTGGGTTGACCGCAAAAAATCTCGGATCACTGGCTAACTGGAGCCCTTTTTGTAAGGAGGAGAGTTTAGATACCTTTCAATTCTGTGTGTGAATCCAAACAAACTTGATTTAATTTATGGCTCCCCTTTTTGTTTTCGCGCTTCGGCGTATTAAAATCGCCTCAGTTCAGCTGACCGATGGTTATGTTTTCAATCGGTATTTGTATAGCTTTCTCTGAGAACCACGCTTAAATTGAACACGTGAATGGCTTTAAAAAATTGTTCTCTTATAACTTCGTTCTTTAACAAAATAAAAAACTGACAACCGAAGCTGGAAAATGTTAGAAGTGTAAGCTTTATTTGTGCACGATGTACTCACACCTTTAAGCGGCTGTCAGAGTTCAACGATCGAGCAAAGCTGAAAAAGTCATCAGAGGCTACCATTGTTTTGATAAACCTTTCCTAAATAACGCTCAGTGAAACAATTATCTTTAACGTTTTCGGAACAGACGGATTTGATACGGAAGACTTTAAACAGAAATTTGTTAAGTCTGTTTAACTTACTTGTTTTGTTCTCCGAAAGCAGACTTAAGTGGCTTTCGACGCCAGAGTAGTTTTACAATCATAGCTTGTGCAGAAGTTTATTGTCTCTCTAAAATTGCTGCTATATATGACGTACCTTGAAAGTTTGAAGACCAGTTTGTTGTTCTTTTGGTCTTCTCCAGGTGTCTCTCAGTGTTCAGCCAGCTGATTCAGCTCCGGCTCGCTTAAATTAGCAAAATCTCTTAGCTAGAGGGACGTGAGAAAACTTGAGCTCGAATCGGTCAAGATGGCTGGATATTGGCCTCGCTCTCTTCTTGCGTTTTTATGGACCTCGACTTCGTCTCGGTCCATAAAACGCTAAAAGAGAACTTGGCCAATATCCAGCCATCTTGGCCTCGCGCTTGGTAAATAACGCATACATGTAGTCTTGCGGCCTATCGATAATTCGTCAGAGACTAATCGACTGATAACCCGTCGATTACTTATCGACTAGTCATTGATATTAGTGATGTCAATTTTGTAGTCAATTTTCGTGCCAATTGACCATGAAATAGAAGTCATAAATTCGACGTATTCAGTCATCGCCCCTTGAAGGTAAACTCGTCCACGTGCTCCACAGATCTTGGCGGTCCAGGTTGCGATCTCGATCTCCAAAACATCAGTCCTCAGAGTATCGCCCGAATCCACAAATCGCATGGGAGAAGAAGGTATAGTATCCGACGAGGATGATTATGAGAACAGTGGTGAGGAGGAAAGTGATGGTGACAATAGTGAAGACGATGATGATCAACCGACGCGTTTCGAAGCTGGACGCAGTAGATCCGGCAGGAGAGTGACACTATTTGTGAAAAAGTCCCAGGCCTTTCCAGTGTCAAACTTTGCACAAGTTTTCTCGATAGATACATTTCAATAGATTTCTTACAAAGAAGGCAATGTAGACTCACGCGTTGAAAACCAAGTTTGAAGCATGACTAAACGATGTCTTTTAAACGATTGGTCAAGAAAGGTTACTACGATAAATAAGTTTTATTCCAATGTTGGTTGTGAAAATGAACTTTTTAAAAAGTTAATGAGGCTAATGTTCACGTCAATTTCAAGCCTTCTTTTTTTTTGTCAGGAGGATGGAATCGAAAGGTATCAGATCTTTCCGGAAAATTTGTTTCCCTTTGTTTCCCTAAAAAAGTTTAGGAATTGTATAGTATCGCACTAGTTTGTTTTGAATTTAGGGAAATTAACCTTATAGTTAAATTTGACCAAAATCAAGAATGTTTACACGTGTCAACGAAGTGTCGGACCCTTCGATGATGATTGTGAAAGGTTATATTCTACAATGGTAAGGACGAACAAAAGAAGGGAAGATCGAGTTGATTCAGGTAGGATCCTATTAAATGCTATTTGGGTCATTATGATATGGTGAAAGGAATGTAAAGTCGCATATTTTTATTGTCTAATAATGTGACTGTAGCCACAGTCCAGTCCTCGCGCTGTTACTTTTCGCGCCTTTTTAGTCACGTGACCAGTGCGTTTTTTTTTTGACTAGTGTAGTCGTAAGTTTGACACAAGTTTCGGTAAATTCATGCTCGTTTAGCGTGCTCTCTTTGTCTTGCCATCGCGATCCTTTAGGCGGGACAAGGTAATGGTGTGTAGGTTTCATGCCTTAGGTTCGACGAGTGTTTGTTTTGAGGTTTATTTCCAATTTATTTCATGTGTTTTTGTGTAGCGTCGCTCGAAAAATGTTTGCATCGAGTCCTAAGTGTAATTTTTGCATTTGTTATGGTTTTACGTCTTCAGTTGAAGTCAGTAAAGAACTACCAGCCTTAGCTACGTTGGTTCGTTTAATCTATGTAGTTACAAATAATGTCGCATTAGCGCATTGAAGAGAAAATGCCCTGGGATCAACAAAATTTCGCGGGATCAGGGATCAAAATTCTCATCACTTTTGGAATCAGGGATCAAAAATTTGGGTAAAATTGCGGGATCAGCGATGAAAAAATATACCTCGAGACGACCCTGCCATTTGCGATTTAAAAACAGTCAAGCGCCGTGATTGAAACAGGTTTGAACATTATTACATACTTTACATGTGAATGTTATACATTGTAGAGGTTAAATCAAGGAAATTTTGCTAAACAATTTGTATGGCCGTTCTCTTCTTGTATGGGCGATCTCTTATTGTTCGATTCAGCAGAGTTTTAGTCTCCTCTCGCAGCCGTTCTTTGTCTCGGGATCCCAGTGTCTCCCTCCCCACAAACGGCTGCTCGTGTTAACCAAACATTCCATTCCAGCCGATTGACCAATCAGAGTGCTGTCTTCCAAAATCTGGAGGGCTCATAATATATTCATCTCGCTAATGCTTTTCAAATGTTTGTTGTGCAACTTGTCAACAGGAACGAGTAGAATACTGGTGCTCTTTACCACCATTCGTCACAAATTCTCTTTAGATTGAAATTTTCAAGATCTTCCTTTGAGCTTCTTCGGAGCAATGATGTTTTTTTTATTGAGCAAAGCCCAGTTATATCTCCAAAAACAATACGTAAGACCCTTTGGATAATATGTTTGAGCATCGACTTCGACTTTAAAGTTGCATTAGCAAATCTTGAAGGGGAACCTTGAGCCAAAGCCTTAGTAATGGCTTCCACGTCTAAACCAAGTTTCTTATTGATAGTTTTGCTTGGGTATTCAATGCACAAGCTGACTTTAAGTTCGGTCGGCCTTGGCTTTGGAGTAGACGATACTGGAGGTGCGAGCTTTGTCGTGTGAACATGCGGCGATTTCTCAGTGATTATTGGACTGACGGGTAGAGTAGGTAGCAGTATAGCTGATGCACTAGGAGATTGAGGCGTACAAGGCAGAGATACAAGCGGTTCAACTGTAGGACTTGGAGGCAAAGAAGTACATGTGGTAGGGCCGGTGAAATCGACAGCTTTCGCTACAAAAGGTCGCTTTGTGTTGGAGTCGCTGTCAAGGGATGGTTGAAGTCTTAACCCGATGATCTTGAATGGAATCATAGCCAGCTTTCAGTTCATTTTTTAGCTCTTGGAGATCGTTTTCTAATTTCTTAATCTCGGAAACTTTTCTGTAGTATTTGAGACCTAAGTAAAGTGGAATTCAAATAAATGTCGAAAGCTTCCAAGTTTATACCCAGTGCTAAACTTATGACGCTCGCTACATCAGCCGATCTTCCGAAGATTCTAACTCTATCTTTAGTCGAAACTGTTGACGTACACAGCAAACATCCAGATAAATTACTGCAAGTTACTTTCTTAGGGGTATCACCCATAGAAATTTAAAAATAATGACATATTTAGCTCTGCAGACATATAATTTGGCGAAGTTTTGAGAGATCTACCCCGGTAAACGCGCGGGCAACTTTTCGCTTCCTGATTGGCGGGTCCCGAACAACTG